GGAATGTCCAGGCCACTCTTCAGCCTCCCCATCTTTCAAGGCGCATCTTAAATGAGACTTAATGTACAAAACACTACAATGGGAATTAATTTCTCACACATTCCCATGCAATTCTGCACCTATATTTTGCTATTTATAATAGTCTGATTTTGATTATTTTAATTCTTATGATAGCAGAATCATAACAGTTAATTGGTAATATAATTAATCATTGGTATATTAAAAGCTTAGTATCTGCTAGGGACTGTACTAATTGCTTTTACTTTATATTATCTCATCTAAACTTCTTGCATTTCAAAAAGATTTTAAAGGGATTACATAAGAGTGTGAATGATCCAGTGGAACGGCATTGATATGTTCTTAGAGCCAGGGGAAGACAACATTAAAGTATACTAGAAGACTCAGAGAAATGAAGAATCCGAATAAGTAGTGAAAGGAGTTTAGATAGAACCTGGGGAGGAAGATACAGATTTTAGTAAGACAGAATTCTTGGTTAATATGCAGTTTGAAACAGGAAGGCATAGGTTATGAGAACTTCCATTTGGGCGCCAATCCGTGTTGGCTTGGTCACTATATTCTCTCTTTCTCTTTCCATCTCTCCCTCTAGATGGATAGATACGTACACATACACATACATATCTCTCCATCTCTATCTCTGTGTGTGGGTTTATGTGTGTGTTTGGTACTTCAAATATTTATGAAGTTCGGCATGTTAGATTAGTGTCACAGTTTACATTAAAGTGCAACTGATTAATTTATAAGTGACTTTAAGTTGCAAGGTATAATAAAATTTAGCTAGGCTTCTAAACGGTATTGAAATATTTAAGAAAGCATGAGAATCAAAATATATACAGATTTTTTCAAGTATGTGTTTGGGATGTATTTGTCAGAGAGTTAATGTACTTTAAAATTGGGTGTATCATCTTTGCAGCTAGTTTAAGTATTTACGAGAGGTTAATGAACTCAAGTTGGTAAATGGGCCAAGCATTGCTCCAAGGCCCTCTTGAAGAAAAAAATTATTAAAGTTTCTAGAATCTGATGAGGAAGGACTTCATTCACAAGCATCTGGTCGAGGTACCAGGTAGGTGGCGGTTGCCCACTGAGCATTCCTGGGCTGGCAGTGGGAGGCTCTGCAGTGCTGTCCAGTGGCTGTTGCTTTGGACATCCAGGCTGGAACAGGGTCTCCTCTTGCAACTCAGTGAGTCACATGGAGTCTAGTTAGTGCTTGTCCAAGTTGACTCTGACTCTCCAAATGTGAGTGCTCTACCCCCAAATCTGGCTTCCAGATTGCTGACTTACTCATCCAGTTCCTGATTATTTTAAGGGATGTTGTTCCTACGTATGCGAATCTGCTCCTCCTCACTCATTCTTTCTGATACCTGTAACTCGGATTCTCAAACACACCCAAAGACTCACCCCCTCCACTTTTATTGTCTCAATCAATCCTCTTCCATTCACTGAGTGCCCAATCCGTGCCAGGAAGGGGATGAGAGGATTCACAGTGCCTGGCTTGGGGCATTTACAGTCTTTTAGAGGGATGTACCTCATTACCCACCCCACCCCTTATACAAACACACATACACACCCATGCACAATAGATGGGGAGTCTCCCAGAGTAACACACGAAAGCTGACCCACTGCATTCCCAGGTTAAAAACTGTTTGCTTCACACATAGTATGGCAGGAACTACAGGAAGTGAAGGCTGGAAAGCACACCACCCCATCTTCCTGGAGTATAAAAATGTTATAATGAAATGAAACATCATAGAGTTGTCAACTGCACATTCATATATTTGTGCATATATTTATATTTATATAAAAAATATGTTTCTTTTTTACGTTACTGGGAGACAAAGCAAACTTTCCTGCAGCAGTATAAAAAGAGATGTCTTTTCCTTAAATTGTGAAGCGAAATAATGAAAAAACCATGAGCATTTGGTATAACTCCAGCAATTTTGATACATTTGATCATAACATTTTTACCTGATTGCATTCCATAGAATTATAAAGTCTATTTGAAAAATGTTTTACCCTAAAAGTCTTATGATCCTAAATGTCTTTTTGTTTAATTGGTAGACAGGTCTACTGTCATATCCATGTAAACAGTGCCTCCTAACACCAAAACCAACTAACCAAGCAAACAAATAGAAAAAAATGTATTCTACTCATGCTGTGTTTATTAGTCAACATAGCCTAGCTACTATAACAAACACCCCCTAAACTGTTGTGTCTCAACCCAGTGGAAGTTATTTCTTGCTCATATCCAAGTCTTGTGTGGGTTGACAAGGTCCTTGCTCCACGCAGCCATAAAAGAAGCCAGATTCCTTCCCTCATATAGTCTCACCATCCTTGAGTGCCTTGTCCTCTTCTGAATTCAGGTACAAGAACAGGGAAACAAATTGAGTTTAGAGAAGACGCCCCTGCACTACCTGGAATCAAAGATGACCTACATGCCTTCTGTTCTTTTGGCTTGAGTAGAACTTGGTTACATGGCCCTATCTACCTTACAAAGTCAAGAAATGTAGTTTACCAGTGAGCCCTTCAAGCGTCTGCCACAGTCTACCCTTCTGATCCTCAAACATCCAGTTACTCCTTTTGTCTTGTAAGCAGAACACAATCCCCCAAGGAAGAAATCCCATAGTCTGAACCAGCTCAAAATATAGGGTCTCCAAGTAACATGTAATTCTCTCTATCATGTCTTCCTATGGCTCCTATTTGTTCAGCAAACTATGAGATAAACATATGACCATTTCTTCCTGTTACCCAGCATCCAACGGTCACTCAGGTGCAGGAAAACTAATAGAAACTACCATCTGCAAGGGAAAATAATGGGCGAAAAATGGCAGTCACTAGGCCTTAGTTTTCTGAGATCAGCTGGGCAAGCACTATGAAGTCATATTCTTCCCCACTCCAACATCCAGAAGTGATACAAGTTCTGTGTTAAGGTCTTGATTCAGCTTTCTGGAAAGAACTCCTTTTTCCTTTGTTACTCATCATTCTGCCATTGGTAGTATTATTCCCTTCGTAGATTGTGCCCTCTTTGATAAGGTAACTTTTGCAACTCACTTTCTAACCAAGTGTAGTTTTAGGGTCTTGGAAAGAGTCTTGTTTTGTTTTGTTTTGTTTGGGGTTTTGCCTGTGGTTACCTTGGGGATATGATTCCTCAAAAACGTCATAGACTTCTACATGCTTCCAGTCAGTTCTACATGCCAGTACCCATACCCAGATTTCTTTCCCAGCAAACATTCTTATGTTTATCTTATTTATTTGCTTCACTTTCTCAAGGTCTTTCTTGCTCAACTGTAGCTTCTTTGACACTTTTTGGAAAAAATAAACTTACACGGGAAGGCATTAGACCTTAATTTAATCTTGACTGAAAACCTCGGTCTGAATTCTTTCCAAACCATTCTCGACTTTATCTTTTTCTATTTATTATCTAGAAGTTAACCAAGTTTCTCAATCCTGCGGTTCTCCAGCTTCCTGGTTTCCCTCTGTTCCCTTGCATTTCTGCCTGCAAAAGAGGCAATTTTTTTAACAGCTTTATTGAGATAGAATTCACATACCAAAAGTTCACCCTTTTAAAATGTGCATTTTGGTAGTTATTAGTACAATCACAGAGATATATAAGTATTACCACTTTCTAGTTCCCGAATACTTTAATGACTTCGAAAAGGAGCTCCATATGGATGAGCTGTCACTCCCCATTCCCCCTTCCCCTAGGCTCTGGCAAACATTAGTCCACTTTCTGTGTCTATGGATTTGCCTAATCTGGACACTGCACATAAATGGTATCAAACAATATGTGGCCTTTTGTGCCTTATTCTTTAACCTAGTATAATGTTTTAAATGTTGATCTGTGCTGTCGCATATATTACTATTTCACTCCTTTTTATTGCCAAATAATATTGCAGTAGATGGATATACCACATTCATCAGCTGATGCACATTTGGGTCGTTTACATATATTGGCTATTATGAATAATGCTTCTAGGAACATTCTCATACAAGTTTGACATGAACATTTGATTTCAATTCTCTTGGGTATATAGCTAGAAGTGGAACTGTTGTGTCCTATGGTAACTCTATGTTTCACTTTTTGAGGAAACAAAGAAATGTTTTCCAAAGTAGCTGCACCATTTTACATTCCAACCAGTGATGTACAAAGGTTCTAATTTCTCCTCATACTGAATGAGACTTGTTATTGTCTGTCTTTTCTTATAGCCACCCTGGTGGATGCAAAGTGGTATCTCATTATGGTTTTTGTTTACATTTCCTGAGTGAGTACTGATGGCAAACATCTTTTCACATGCTTATTGCCCATTTGTATAGAGAAATGCTTATTCAAATCCTTTGTGCATTGTTAATTGGGTTATTTTTCATTTTATTGTTAAGTTGTAAGAGTTCTTTACCTACTCTGGATAAAAGTCCTTAATCAGATACATGATTCATAAGTAATCTCCCATTCTGTGGGTTACATTTTCATTCTCTTAATGGTGTCCTTTGAAATACAAAAGTTTTTAAATTTTGATAAGGTCTCTTCTTGTTTCCTATACCAGTTATTACTGAGGCACTTTCCCGCTGCAACAAACATGGTCGTGATGTTGGTGAGGGTGATGACTGAGCGTGATGGACACAAGGGTGATCTGCTGCCTTACTGAGTGCTAAGCTGTGTCAGGCACTGAGGCAACTAAATTACACATATTCACTCATTTTTATGCCTAAGACAACTTGGTAACATAAATATGATTTTTCCCATGTTGTAATAGAAAGATTGAAATCCTGACAAATTAAATAATTTGTTCCTCATATCAAAAAGTAATTAGGGAAAATAACATGGATTTGAAATGATATAGAAATAGTGTTTAGTATGGCCCAAAATTCAGACAACACTGATTGTGAGAGCCTGAGCCTCAGGATCAAAGAAGGACAGAAATAAACTAAAATGATGATATGATATTGCTAACAAGCAGATTTTAAAAGGAAGAAAACATATATCCCATCACAAAAAAAAATGTCACTTTATTCAGGAAATGGAAGAAAAGAAACAATTGCCCAGGTGATAGAAACCCCTGCCCAGGGGACAGACAGACACAGAAGACATCAAGAGCCTCCCCTGCTGGCACCCAGGAAGAGAGCTGCTGCTCTTCCTCCTGAAGCTCTGGGATGCTGGCACAGCTGAGGATGCCCTTCCTCAGCTCCCTCCCGGAGAGGAGCAGTGTGACAGCCTCAGGAAGGAAGGCTTTTGCTGTCAGGAGTCACACAGGCATTTTACAGGCTGAAGGATGGAAAAGCCACTTCTGTATCCATGATAGGCTCAGAAGAGCAGGTGAAGGTGGAGCTGTGGAAGCAGGCGAGCCAATGGTCCTTCTCTTTTCCAGATCCTGATGCTGCTGAAGCTGTTACTTGCTCTTGGGTGGGCACTTCTGCTGGCATGGTGGAGGAGGTTGCACAGGAGGGCATTTCTGCTGGCACTGTGGGGGTGGGCACGGCTCAGGGCATTTTGGGGGTGGGCATGGCTCTGGGCACTTTGGGGGTGGGCACGGCTCTGGGCACTTAGGTGGGCACACAGGAGGGGGCTGGCAGGGCTGCTTGCACTGCTGCTGTTGATAAGACATCTTTCTGGAGTCTTAGGAGCTGAAAGAAATTAGAGATAGTGTTCACAAGAAGGGACTCCTCCAGAGAGAGAAACCAGGGCTTATAGAATACCATGAGATGTTCCCCCTCCCATTCCCAAGATTGTGCTTTAATCTCTTAACTCACTTTTTAATAAATTTATGGCTTCTCCCTTCCTCTTTAGCAAAATGCTCCATCAGCATTGGGAAAAAAACCCTCTTTTCTCCTAGCACTTTTCTAAAAAAAATCTGTTTGAAAGAACCAAGTCATGTTATTTGTATGAAAATAACATCTTCAAGAAAGGCCATCAAGAATTCTGAAACAACCTCACAAGCAATTGTTATCATCATGATCTCTCCTGAGATCCCAGTAGGCTGACTTAGGTACAGAGCAAACAGCCATCAGGAAGAATGCAAGGCCTCACACCTACTAAGACATAAGCTTTTGAAATCCCAGCAGAAGGAAAAGGACCTCAAAAAGATAGACAAAAGTACTTTGGTCTTTCCTCTTCTTCACATCAAACCTTTCCTATGAATTTCTTGTCCATACAGGACGTCAAACTAGCTACCAAAACACAAGTCAGAACAAGATATCATAGTGCCCCAAGGCTAAGCTTCCATCACCTAAGCAGCATCAAACCCACCATAGTATCTATGGACCCACCAAACTTGCTGTCTCCAGACCAAATTCAACATCTGAGAGCACCAAAAAACAGATGAATGGAAGAAATCAGACTCACCACGTTCTCCAAAGGAGGTCGGGACTCGAGTACCAGGAGGATGACAGTCGTGCAGCAGAGCACCTCTTTATAGGGCTTGGCGCTCCCCCCTCCCATGGGGAAGTGCAGCTTCCAAAAACTGGCCTATCCAAGAATTTCCCAACCAAAATGCAAATCCATCCATAACTGGCTTGACAGGGATACTGGAAACAGGAAATATCCTGCTCCAGGATCTCCTCACTGGATTAGGTGCTCATGACTCATGAAGGTCCCACCTTAGCTCTCAGTGTCAGTGACTTATGACGGGGAGACTTTGGAGATTCTCTAACTGGTGGTCAAAGGCTTTCTTTGATTGGTGAAGATGACCCTTTCCTATCTTTCACCTTCCTTGAATCATAAAACTGCCTGCTCTGTGCCACTTTAGCTGACTGCCATTTTGCTATACTTGCTGGGTTGAAAAGAGACTGGCTACCTGATGACACCTTTCTCTTTAGCCCAAGTCCTTCTGACAATGCATTTTCCCTGGATCCATGGCTTGCTAATCTAGTCTCCTTTCTTCTTCTAAAACGAACTGATGTAAGGCTGCAGATCAGCTTAATAGCCTTCCCACGATAATACTTAGAAATATTCAGTAAAATGGTGACTTCTAGGGTCCTATTTTCACTGCTTTGGTCCTTCAAATAGAGGACATAAAGCTGATTCCGGTGGCTTTTATAAATCTGTACGAACCTGGGCCACATGGAATCCACAGGACCACAACATCACCTATTGTAATTCAGATGTTCTGGTAGCTCTGTCCCTGGACCTACAACAGAAAGCAAACTCTGCTCATAATTCACCAACATGACATACTACCTGCTCCTGCACAATTTCTCCCAACTGACCTCTTTCTACTTCTTCAACTTTTGAAGATAAGTTGGGGGATTGTTCAAATTTCCTTGCTTCCTATGTCTTTGAAATCACTGGAAATTCAATCCAATAAGCAATGCCTTTCAAACAGCTAATTTTATGTGTATTTTACATTTATTATTTAAATACATTTTGTTTGACATAGAATCTATTGGTAAGTTCAAGACAAAGTTAAATCACGTTATTAATAATTCACTCACTGAAGTTAATTGCCAGTCATTTACAACTTCTTAATCATTAACAGTAATTTCATTATAATTTTTACTTATTTTTAGGATTTTCCACATTGATCACAGAAATCTATTGCCATCTCTGCTTTTTTCGTATAATTTGTCAGTGTAGTAGAAGGAAGATGTGATGGTTAATTTATGTGTCAACTTGACTGGCCATAGGGTGCCCAGGTATTTGGTCGAACATTATTCTGAGTGTTTTGTGAGAGTGTTTTGGGTGAGATTAATATTTAAGTCAGTAGACTGAGTAAAGAAGATTATCCTCTATAAAGTAGGTGAGCCTCATCCAATCATTTGAAGACCTGAATTGAACAAAAGGCTGGCCCTCCCCAGAGCAAGAGATAATTCCCTTCCTTGATAGTATTCAAACTGGAACATTGGCTCTGCAGATTTTGGACTTGCCAGCCTTCATAATCATGTGAGCTAATTCTTATATAAATCTCTCTCTCCATCCCTCCCACCCTCCCTCCTTCTCTCTCTCTCTCTCTCAGCCCTGGTGGTCTAGTGCTTAAGATTCAACACTCTCATCACTGTAGCCCAGGTTAGTTTCCTGGTCACAGAATCACACCACTCATTTGTTGGCTGTCACACTGTGGCAGCTGCATGTTGCTATGATGCTGAAAGCTAAGCCACCGGCATTTCAAATACCAGCAGGTTCACTCATGAAGGACAGCTTTCAGCGGAGCTTCCAGACTACACAGAGTAGGAAGAAAGACCTGGTCACCTAATTCCAAAAAATTGGCCATGAAAATCCTATGAATAGCAGTGAACATTGTCTGATACAATGCCAGAAGATGAGAGGATGGTGCCAAAAGACCAGGCAGGATTGTGCTCTGCTGTAGACAGGTTCACTAGGAGTCAAAATCCACTCAATGACTAACAAAAATGTACAACTGAAATCTCACAAGGTTGTAATCTATCATAACATTAATAAAAAAAAAAATCCACTCAATGACACTAACAACATATGTATATATATATCTCCTATCTTCTGTATGTTTTGTTTCTCTGGAGAACCCTGACTAATACAGAAGGAGAGACCTGAAAAAGAACGGAGTATGTCTGGTCCCATTTCTATCTTTGACAAGCCATGTGACTATGGGCAGGTCACTTCTCCTGTCTGGCTTTGAATCTTTCCCTACACATAGGGGCAAATAATACCTGCCTCTTGGGGTGGGGGCTAATGGCATTGGGCCTTATCTTGACTCTGTTCAAGCCTGAAATTCTCTCCTCCTCCTCTTTCTTTCCTCCCATAGAACCACAAATTTGACCTATATTCCCTGCTTCTTTGAAGCTGTCTTCTCCACCCCGTTCCTAAAGGCACCTCTCTCCCAGGACAGATTTCAGAGTGGGATCCAGTCTCCTCAGCACTTTTCCTCCTTGCTGCCCTCAAAGATGTACACTTGAGCTCTTTTATGCTTAAAACATGTGCTCTTAGTCACCACTTTAAGAAAATGGAAAGAAGTGCACCAAAGTCAGAAGCATTTATTCAAAATCTGTTTATTGAACCACATCTGTGTGGTTCCCTCTGATATTTCTCTTCAAGGAAGACACCCTCCCAGGCAAGGCTACTCATGTTGTCAGAGGCTACTTGGTCACACCTGCCTTAAATGCCAGCATGACTGAAGTGTTGAAGCTCCTCCATCTACATTTTAACCTTAATTTCCCCAGGCAATTAGTTCCCCAGAATATTAGCAAGTAAACACTCTTCCCCACCCTTTACTCAGCAGTCCTGGGACTACCTGAAATACACACGAATCTTACCATACACAAACACTAAACTCCAGAAAAAAGTAAATAACAGCTAGAGCTGCTATGGAGTTGATAGAATGCATGAGAACATTGAAGACTCCTGGACTGCAAGAGCCTTTAGAACCCATTCACCTCCCCGTGATCACTCTGCTGTGCCCATTCCTCAAGCTGACATTGAAAAACTTGGGGCAAACTGACTTTTGTGATCATGCTACACATCTGTTCAGCACCTGAAACTCCACTGCACATGCAACTTTCCTCCTGCTTGCCACTCCCACCCCACCAAGCCTACTGCCACTCTGGGTGTTCCTTCAATAGGTAATGGCTTACTTTTTCTACTGGCTCAGGCTCAGGTATCATGCACCAAAATGCTGGAAATTAACTGGAAACCCTTGATCTCTAGTGAACCACCTCTCAACTTCCCAGTTGCCAATAGATGGTAGTCCCATTTCCCTGGCACATACACTGAAACATTTCTTTCTTTCCACCTGTTTACAGGCCTATAAGTACAGCTTTTCCTACCAGGCAACACAGCAAGGCAAACACATCACCCAGTGTGTAGTGGTTGTCTCAGCAACACCGAAGGACCACCATTGTCCTCTCTAGCTGTACCCAGTGCCTTCTTCCCTCCCCTGACAGGTCCCCTGACTCTCCACCCTATACTCCAACTATCAGTATCTACCTCTGTCCCTTGACTATGTCCTACAGCTTCAAGTGACATACTATACTCCAACATCCTCCTGAATCCTGAATCCATTGAATGATTGACAGCCAAACAATGCTCCATGAGAGAAAACTGGGAATTGGTTCTCACTGAACTTTACTTCCCACTTTCCAGGGTCTGTTAAGACTCCCTGACTGACAAAACATTTTTAAAATCATAACTGTGAAAGTCATGGTCTACTTCACCAAATGGTCTCATTTAGCTTTTTCTAATAGCCTTTTTATCCATCAAATCCACACAATTCTTTCCTGGCAGTGCCTACCACGATACGTGGTCTGGACTCATGGGGTTTACACTTTCTATAGCATTAAAACATGATAAATTCAAGTCTTCGGCTATTTACCTACCACTCAAAGGCCTTGCGTCCCACGGTCCATTCATTACACCACCCCATGGCTGCCCACCACTCACTGAGAGCCCCAGAGGCACTGTGGGAAATGGCCCCTGTGTTCCATTCCTCCCAGGGTGCCCTTCCCAAGGAGATGAAAACCTTGTTAGTCACTCAGTACCAGCCAAACTGGAGATCTCTATACAAAGAAGCAGTTACACAAGCCATCTTAGAACCTGGAGTGAGACGCCCAAGGAAGAGGAAACTGGGAAAAATCCCTTTGCTTTATTTAGGTCTGACTGAGCTTGGAATCAAAAGTGCAAGATTGAGGCCTTCTTTATGCCACTTGGATCCTC